GGGGAAAACGCGGAGACAACGACAAGGTTCAACAGCGACTAGGCATGGAGGTAAGACAACGAGAGAAGGACGACAATAGCCACGAGAAGGAGGGCAGATCAGTTGGAAGATAACGGGCGTGGATGTGGCAGGACATGGGATAGGTGTGGTAGTTCGGAGCGGTGGTCGTTAATCGTCGTGGGTCGTTGCGGTTGGTGGTGGTGGTGGTTGTGGTGGTGTGGATGTGGATGTGGTTCAAGTCTGTTTGTCGTTCAAGGGTTGACGAGTGGAAGGATCGTGTTCGTTAGTTAGGTAAGTTGCCTTAGGTAACTAAGTTCGGGTTTTGGCTGGGTGGTGAACTCTTGGCATGCTTGCCCGCATCGGGTTAGCCTCAAACACAGGCACCCGTCGCCTTTCCCGCTTGGTCACGTGGAAGCTCCGTCACTTCCAAACCTTCGCCCCGGACGCAATCCCGAAGAGCGGTATATCTATGTCATTCTACCGCTCCATCCATGGGGACTCAGGAATGGTTTGATGTGTGCCAGGATATGCATGCAAATTGTCCGGAGTGGGCTTACTAGGTGGAGGTTTATTCAGGCAAAGAAAGAGGTTTCCTTTGAAACGCCTTCGTGGAAAAATATATTGCTGCCACCCCATTGCCTATATCTATGTATCCACAACATGATATCATAGCGGTTTTAATGTACCAAGAGGAAATGAAGGGAAAGAAAGGAAACGAGCATATTCTCTAGATTCTCCCGTTAGGCCTCTCATACGGCACTTGCACGGACTTGATCCGTTCATTTATCCATCCAACCTCTCTTTTATCGGGTGGCCAGTGGTAAAGTCCTAATATCAACTTCAAAATGTCTCAACCAGTCCGTTCTCAGGATCGCAATGCCCCTTGGTACTCAATCCCTTCTCGAGAGATTGTCAGCGTCGAACACCCATGCTTCGTGAAGAATATAGACAAAGCCATTGAAACCCTCGACGGGAAGAGTGGAATATCAAGGGCAAGCAAACTGAATTCCTAGACCCTCAACAACTCCCATATCCCCGTACTATGCTGTATGATTGATTATACCCACATATCCACGCAACTAATATATCATCGTAGATTATAAACCCCCCTCGTCAGGACGCCTCTGCCAACTTATTCCTATCTCCGGAGGATGGCATGAGTCGACCCTTGTCCTCAACTTGCAACTCAGCAAACAATGTCTTGCTGAAGATTACCCTCCCCAGGAGGACTGGCCGGAAGCGAAAACGTGGTTCAAATGAACCCTTCACCCGCCACGACAATGCTGCTATGTCTGCTACCGCCGGTGGGGTTGATAAACCTTCAAGTTCCGCACCACCCCCTTCCCGGGCCCTAAGTGCCCGGGACTTGCTTCGACGGTTGCAGGATAACGTGGGGAAATATGAAGTCGAAGCTGTTGGGCGGGTTGAGCGAATGCATGTATTTCGCGGTATGTTGGCATCAAACACACAATGCATGCATGCGTGGATATATATATTTCACAGTGTTCATGCTAATGTCGGTGACAGGAATGCCGGATTTCGTATACTCGACAACCTCCAGTCCGTTTATGACGAAATTCCGCGAGAAGATCCTTCCTTTCGAATGTATGCTGTGTCCCTTCTACCATCCATCGTATTGATGCTAATTCTCCAATAGATGACAAGCTCAAAGAGTTCCAATTCGACATGAGTAAAGGCCATACGTCGAACGTCGATATCATTCCGCCCCCAGCATTAAGCCGCGGAGATGTCCCTTTTAACTACTTGTATGTCCTCAAAGACCACTGTTCAACAGGAGTTACTCTCCCCCAAAAAGGAACCATCCTCTTACCCTTGCCAACCCAGATACCGCCAAAACCCCACCGTAAAACAGTCCATCGGTCCCTCTGGTGAAATAACAACCACAAACACCCAACAAATTGTCAAAGTCCTCACCCACCTCGTAGCCTGCGACGTCCCCGCTGTCCCCACCGCACCCCGCGAAAACTGCCCCCCAATCTCAACCCTCGACAAAACCCTCCAGGAAACCATCTCCATCCTCCAATCCCTCTTCGAATCCCGCCTGGCCTGGACGCGCCGCGGCCTCCGCAACCACCTAATCACCAACGAACAGAAATACGCTCTCCGCCTCGCTGTGCCGTACGTGGGCTACATCTTCCGCTCCGGGCCCTGGCGCGACGCCATCGTGAAATTCGGTCATGATCCCCGCACCCACCCGTCCTCCTGCATATATCAGACCTTCATGTTTCGCACCCTCCCCTCCCCCATAACCGAGCAACTCGACGAAAACGATAACGAAAACGAAAACGACAACGACAACGACAACGAAAACACCCCGGCCCCGGCGCCCGCGCCACCACCCGCGACGAAATCAACCACAACCCCAACCTCCAACAGACGCCAAACCCTCCCCCGCCCCTCCACAACCCTAGGCGACCAATCCACCCAATCCACCTGCCCCTCGCACATCTTCACAGGCCAAGCCCCGCTCCCCCGCGACGGCAAGCTATGGATGATCTGTGACATCAAAGACCCCATCCTCGCCAAACTGCTCAAACCCCGCACCTCACAGTCCTCCCTGGACAGTAAAAACGCCTGCGACATCCTCTCCTCGGGCTGGTACGGCAACGTCACTCTGGCCGTTGCCAAAACCATCATGCGCGCCAAGATACAGCACATGCTCGAATTCAACACGACGCCGGCGTTCGAGGAGGACTTTGCGCCCCTGCTGCGGTTTCCCGGAGAGGGTGGGCGGGGATGAGGAGGTGGCGAGGAAGTGTGTGGTTGGTGGTGGTGGTGGCAGCGTTAGTTCGAGGTGTATGTCGTTGGCGGCAGAGGTGAGGGCTATGGTTAGGGGGGGCGCCGGGGAGGAAGGTGTTTTTGGAGAGAGGAAGGGAGTGAAGTGGGCGGTGGTGGTGTTAGCGTGGTGGTGGTGGCCGGTGGGGAGGGGAGTGGGAGAAGAGGGGTAGGTGGGAGGATGGGTTGGGGCAGAGTGGGTGAGGAGGAGGGGGTGGAGAGACGATGAAAGGAAATGAAGCTGGGGAGATTGGATTGGAGGCCAGGATGGAGGATGGAGATGGAGAAGATGTGGACATGACGGGCATGTAGTTGTAGTTTACGTTGAGTAGAGCGATGTTTGCCCTTGATGGGGAACGATCTCATTTACCCCATCTCTATCAGGAATCTCTTAGTATAATTAGGCATGATGCCTTGTATCCTTTTATTCTGTTTACTTTTGCCTCACAGATATCCTCTCAACACTGTCCCATTCTCATCTTAATGTGGAGGGCAACCTATACTCTTCACTGTGTATTTCTTCATGTTTTCATCAAACACCTTATCATCTGCTGAATATTCTCACTGAGATGAGAACTTAATTAAATATTAATTAGATACATCACATTGAAAGCATTAGAGTGAAAAGAGTCCTTTCAGACAGAAGAATGTATTTAATTTTTAATTGTCGTGAAGCAGAGTTTCAAAACCAGGATAGTTAAAACTCAATATAAACTGACAAAATTTGATGAGAGATTTTATTTCTCCTCTGATATATCAAAAATGCTGCAGCATTCAAAAGTAATATCAATAAACATTAGAAAATAGATAATTAATTATTAGATATCATCAATTATAAGCAGATTAAACATAATGTAATGAAAGGTCAGATTAAGATTAGACATGACCATAAACAGACAGCTGAACACATCCCACAGCAAACGGACGACATCATAAACAGGGAGAAGAAATCGCAGATAAATAAACAGAATATATAAGCAGGAAAGTGTCATATTATCCTCATCACTATAAAAGAGAAAACAGAAACCCGAACATAAAAAACACAGAACTCTAACATCTCTCACAACCACAATGCACAATGGACCAATCCATATTTTAAAAGAGAAGGAAAAGAAAAAGCAAAAACAAAATACCCAAGCTGAAAGAAGAAAAACAAAAAGAAAAGAAAAAGAACAATAAAAGGCGAATCTACAGAAAATCCATCCGGGTATACACAACATAGACATATACTGTGGCATAACACCACTCAGAGGGTCCCATATGAAGAAGCAAATGCATCATTAACAAAACAAAGCCAAAACCAAACCCAAAACCCAAAAAAAAAAAAGAAAAAGAAAAGAAAGAAAAAAACTAACTTTCCCCCCTTCACACTTCACGCTTCAGACTTCAGCCTCCCCAGCCACACTCTCACTCTCCCAAATTTCAATCTTAACATTTGTCGGCCGTTCAGCTTTGAAGGCAGAAGAAGCATCCACACCATCTGCTGTGCCAAATATCAGCGAAGAAATGGCCGCGTGGCTGGCGAGTTGTGAGTTGCTTCGCTGGTGCTGGTGCTGTTGTGGCTCATGTTGGTAGTGATGGTGGTTAGAAACCTGGGACTGCTCAATTGAATGTTCAGACAACGGTGAATGTTCCGCTGCGATGTAGGCTGTGTCAAGGTTGATGTTCTCATTCTCATTCTCATTCTTCAGTTCCTGCTCGCGCTCCAGCTCCTTCTCCATCCTCTCACTCTCCCTCACATCCTCCTCAGATATAAAAAGAGCAACATCCAACTCTCCCAGCACGGCGCGTGGTTGCGCCTGCGTCTGCCCCTGCAGCTCATCCGTCATTATCAACGTGCGACTTCTACTATTACGACCACTACCCATTTCCGTAATCAGAGCCTCACCAATCATTTCCGCAGGAGGAATGTTCTCCTTCCCCCTTTCATCCTTGCTCCGAGGTTTATCTTCATCATCACTGATATCCAACACGCAGGCCGAATGCTGCATCAAGTTTGCCATCTCATCCTGCTCGGTATCAACGTATATCTCAAAGTCCCAGTCCTTTGGACACGGTTTGTCAATGGCATTGCTATTGTTGTTTGTATTGACATTTGACGGCCCGGCAGCTTTGGTTGTTTGCGAGGCTGTGTTGCGGGTTCCATGGAGTGCATCAGCAATGGAAAACGGTGCGCGTGGCGCATGTGGTTTCGCAAACAAGGTGGGCGGGTCAATGCGTGTGTATGTGGGTGAGGATGATGTGATGCTGCGGCGGGAGAAGGCCTTGACGGACTTGGACTTGGACTTTGGCGAGCGGCCAGCTGGGGCGCGGAGCGGTGCTGAGTTTGGGAGCGTGGCGAGTTTTATTTTGGATACAGGTGTCTGGAGGCATTTTGTATTGGTAGTGCTGGTGGTCCTTGGGGAGGCGATGGTGAACTTGGGTGGTTTGGAGACGACTTGGACGAGATGGTTTCGGGCGCGCTTGGAGCCTAGAGGGCCGAAGGAGAGAGAGGAAGGATTAATGGTTTCGGTGTTGGATAGATCTGATGTATCTAGACGGCGTTTGAGAGAGGTGGATGGCGCGGCTGCGAGAGTGAAGTTAGTGTAAGCGTCGATGTCAATGTTTCGTGTTGGGAGGTAGAGTTCTTCTGACATACCATTCTGCTGGTTTTTCATACTCTGTAAGAATCTCATACGGGAGGAATCAATGACACCAAAGGGCTGCCTTGTAAGGGGCGACATGGACTGGGTGAGGGCCATGATGTGCAAGTTGGTGTAGATTTGTGTGTGTGTGTGTGTGTGTGTGTGTGTGTGTTGTTGATCTGAGATGGCTTGTTTTATAGGCGCTAAGGGCTGGGGCTATTTTGATTTGACAAACAAAGAGAGGAACAAATCCGGACTGATTGTAGGGTTGGTGATGTCAACAATAAAACTGGTTGAAGACAAGACAGATAGAGAGAGGTCTTTGGTTACAGCTGAACTAGGACTGGAGCGCGAGATTATGATGTTGCTGTGTTAGGACAAGAAGCTGAGCACCAAATATACGCACGTAAAGAGGGCTTTATCCTGAGGCTGCGAAGTAAACAAACACAGGTTGGAGATGACAAACAAATAAACAAAGGTATAGAGGACGACAATTGAGGCGATGTGTCGAGTATGTGGATGAGATTGCCTGTATATGTGTAAATATATGAGAAGGAAGAGAGAAGATATATAGTCTCTGATAAGGCAGAGAAAAGAGGTGGGAGACGTAGGGTATTTGTCTACTGGGAGAAGGGGAACCGGGGGGGAAAGGGAGGGGAACGGGAGGGGGGCCGGATTCTGGTATGAGAGACAAGGGCAGCCTTGGAAATCCTTGGATTGCTTCGTCCCTCGGATCAGGAGGGAGCGCCGTTGGTTCGTGTCAAGGACTTGCAGAAGGGACAGCAGATTCAGCTGCGTTGTTGGTCAGCCGTTGAAGAGAGCCACAGCAGCAAGCACAAAAATGCGATCAAGGAGAAGACGAGGACAAAGGGGATTGGATAGGATGTGATGAACCAGACAGAAGCTGCGAGGAGACCAGAGCGGGTTTCAGGGAACTTTGATAGAAGCGAGATGCAAGAATCCCTGCTTGTAGCAGAGGGACAGCAGAGGAGGGATTTGGATGGGTGAGGATTGTCGAATAGTTAGAGGTAGTTCAAAGATTTAAGGTGTGAGACGGGGGGGAACGGAGGGACGGAGGTCGGCATGGGATGAAAGACCAAGTGGGGAGAATGAGGCAAGTGGAGAGATAACAATACAGAACAGCCGCGTTGTGTGGTATGGTATTTTTTACATAGAATCAAGCGCGTAGAAGCGTGTTGCTGGAGGAGGAGAAGAGAGCTAACCCGAGATAAAATATCTTGAGACGGCTTGGTTTTTTACTTTTCCTTGGATCTCGACTCCCTAGTTAACTGTATAGACAGTGTGTTCAGAGATGGGGTTCTATGTGTTCTGATCCCGCAGCTGGCGATAACTGTCTGAGGACTGTGAGTGGATGTGTCTGTTTTGCTCTCGACTCCGTAAACATAGCTATTGTTTGGTAAAGTCAAAGGTTTTTTCCCCTTCCCAACCCAAACATCGATGCCCGGCATTACCCATGGATCTTCACCCTCTACATCTCTTAAAAGGAGTTAACTGACGAGTCAACTCGTTAGAACAGTGGGCTGCTTACCGAAGATGCCTTTTTTTCCCCACGTTCGGTGAGAACATCACGAAATACACGAAATACACGGTACACGATTCCACGATTCCACGATTCACGATTCACGATTCACGATTCACGATACACGATACACGAAAAATACACGGTCCACGTCCACGTCCACGTCCACGACCATGCTTCTGACACCGTAATATTTCCGTATCAAAAGACGCGACGCGCTGCAGCACCCAAACTTGGGCTAACCGCTCGACCAATGATTGCTTGACATCCCACTTACCACAACATCCCCAGTCAGAGCAAATCAGATTCAGAGCAATGAGCAAAGCACAGGGGGATGCTGAGATCCGTGCAGACTTGGGAAACCAAGGATCTGGGGAGCTGAACTGGCATGCATTGGGGATCCTTGCTGGGATCTGTTGGCTAAGGCCCTTCTGGAGGGGAGTTCTCAATGGAGGGCATTCTTCGAAGATATCCTTGGAAGAGATCGTCAGAACGCCGAACCGCCTCCCTTTGGTATCAGATGTTGCTCGAGTTAAACTATCTATTGGTTGGTCCATGAATAAAGAATAGCCTAAATGTACTCAATGTCAGCCACGCACTCTCCGGGGGCTCTGTTTATTCAGTCAATGGAATCTGGTAATGCTGTTTTAAGCAAATTTTGGAAGCAAGCTCACACATAGGCATTAACCAACTTGAGAAGCATTCGTTCGTGGTAATGTTCGCCTGCAGCCAGTTTGCCCAGCAGAAACAGCTCAGCTGGCCTCGTTGTCCATGGGGAGAATTAGTTATTGGCCAATAGAACATCATCCATCCTCGAGGCTGTCTCTCGTCGGGGATTGCCTGCGGCACAGCAACGTAACTGATTTGGAGACATCCTCCGAGAGACACACAGTCAGAAGCAGATGGCATCGTGAGCAGGCATCAATGGGTTTTAATAAGATATTCAACATAATTGAGTGAGGGGAGGGGATCTTGAGTTGGACATTCATGGATACAAGGAGGGAATATCTACAGGAGCTCGCTACTTAAGGCGTAGGCTGTCAACAGTCCTGCAACACACATTCATGGATGTATTCACCTCTGTATCTATATCATAATATTACCCCGTAGGAACCATAAACGAGAAGGAAACATATACAGCTCACTGTATCAAACACCCGTGCCATAACACCATATAGAACAACAGATCTCATAAAATTTCATCTTCCCACGGTATACTGCTCATCGCCCCATCCCTCTCCACACACCTCGCAGAAGCCTTCGTAGCCCACCTAACCGCCCGCTCTGTAACGTCCCCATACCACTCCCTCCTCTCCTGAACCGTCATCGCTCCTACCCGCCCCCCCCCCTTCACCTCCCTCCACCGCGCAATCTGCACCGCATACCCACCCACAAACGTATCCCCCGCCCCCGTCGTATCAACCACCCTCTCCACTTTCGCAGCAGGCACCTCCCCAACGGCCCTCACCCACTCTGCTCCCTCAGTTTGTACCGCCCCCCCAATATCCCCAGCACTATACCAAACCCCCTGCGCCCCCAACGTGACAAGCACACGCCTAACCCCAACACCATGAAAATACCTAGCAATCTTATCCCTCCTCGCCGCGGAGGTCGCCACCGTTCCCTCCTCCCCGCCCTCCCCCCTCACCATTTCCACCGGCGCCATACTCTCACACTCCGTCTCATTCATCACCAGATGATCCACAGCCCGATACACATCAACCGGCAATCCCCCCTCCGGAGCTGGCGCTGGGTTAAAAACAACCTCCACCTCCCCCCTCTCTTTCTCCTTCCACCCCCACACCCCCCTCAGAATCCCCACAACTGTCTCAACCGGAATCTCCGCCTGCAACACCATCACATCCGGCATGGGCGCCGCCAGCGCCATCCCCAACACCTCCCCCGTGCACTGCATGCCCGAATAATTCGCCCCGGGCGAATAGAGGATCCTATTCTCCCCGCCCGCGGAGCTATCGACGATTATCACCGCGACGCCGGTGTGGTCGTTTGGCACGGTGCGGATGCACGAGGTGTCGACTCCCGAGGACTGGAGGATCGGCTGGAGGAGGCTGGTGAAGTACGTGTCCAGGGAGCCGGTGGCGCCGAACATTTCGATGTGGATGGCTGTTGGGGTGTTTGCATTTGCGTTTGTGGGGGATATTTGATGATTGGAATTTGGGTGGTGAGGACGAGGGCGGGAGAGACGGCCGCATGCGACGGCTTGGTTTGCGCCTTTGCCACCTGCGTGGGTGTTGAAGGAGGTGGATTTGAGAGTTTCGCCGGGGGAGGGGAAGCGGGGGGTTACGGAGACCAGGTCGACATTTAGGGAGCCGATGATGCGGATTGATGGTGGCATTTTTTTTTTCT